GAGAGAGAGAGAGAGAAGGAGGGGGGAGAAATTTTTCTTTCCATGATTAAATTTTCAATTAAACTGTAATTGAGCTATCATCTTTAATTTCGATGCTAATCAATATTTCCTATTTTATGCTATCAAAAAAAACCTTCCTTAAAAAACGGCAATTAGCTGTTATTTTATCAGAAAATAAATCTATTATAAAAATTTCGTTGATAAACCAAAATCAATTAACAATTGCAAGGTTACTAGTAAAAAAAAAATCTTTAATGATAACAGAAATTATTGTACAGACAATTTTAATTTCAATTTCAATTAACACCATTTAATGTTAATGAGCTGTTGATCTATCAAATATAATCCGGATGAAAGATTTCGCCATCTCCATTGCACTGATTGCATCTTACTTCGAAAACACTCTGTCCAGGAACTCCATGGTAGAGTTGAAATTTTCCGATAATTACACTGATACCGGAATGCTGCTGATGCTATCTGGAATAAAATGCTTCAAATTTTGGCTGTCATTTAGTTTTAATTTAAATGATCAATGATTAATTTTAAATACGCTTTTCGGTCTTTCTGGAACAAAAAAAATGAAATTTTGAATTAACACCAACGAAAAAAAGAAAAACCTGAAGTTTAAAATTTAAATTCAAATTTGCATATTATGCAGCAAATGCAAATATGATAAATTTAGTATGAATTAACTAACTTGTCTCATTAGTAAACCATCTTCATCATTTTTACAACCATTTGTCAATCGAATTAAACGTTCAGAGCTAAGCAACCCATATGCTGAAAATGAAATCCACCAACCTGAAAAATAATTAATGAAATTTTAAAATTAAAAGGTTACCTGAATTCTGGCTGATTTAGGTTGCTTTGTCATGTTTTCTGCAAACGTGAGGGCTCAATACCTGATGTTTGAAAAAGTAATCAATAATGTACATTTTGTTATGGTATGCTTTTAGTAGTTGAAATGAAATATTCAAAGTGCATAAGCATATTAAGCCTACCGAAGCCTACTGTTGTGAAAACCATAAGCCTACAACTGAGAAAGACCGTGAGTTCATTTATTTTGGCGTGCAATACATGAGGAAGAATTGACAATTTTGGACAGAAATTGGAATTTTTAAATTTCCAATTTACCAAACATTGCGATAATAAAAATGACAAATATTATTGACAAGATTATAAATGTCATGCAGAATGATATTTTAGCATAAAGTCGTATTCGTCGCTTCACTTTCACTTCCAGAATTTTTGGATCGTAATTTAT